AGCATCTACGGGGACAGTGCCAGCCTCAGGGACAGCCCGGGACCCCTCAGTTGCTGAGCTGAGGCTCCTCCTGCTCCACGTGCACCTGCCCCCTGGGGATGTGGTTTTTATTATGGAAATCAAACCTTGGACAAGCAGGTTTAGAGGTTGGACAAACCCGCAGGGGCCCCACGGACCCCACGCAGGACTTAATTTCTGGTGGGTTCATTTGCAAGATGCAGTGCTCTTGGAGCACCCATGGCCTCCGGGTGGGGCCTCTCCCGCGGATACCACCAGTAGAAAGCACCTACCTACGGCGCTGGAGGGGACCAGGCAGAGCTGCGGCCGCCGAGGGACTGGCAGTGGAGGGGATGCGTGCACGGTGGCGGCCACCGTCACTTCGGCTCATCCCAGCCTTTTCTGAGAGGGCATTCTTGTCCACTGACCTCCCATTTTCAGCCTGTACAGTAAAGAGCAAAATAACAAAACTCTTCCCAAACTGGACACTTTTGGAGCCAGATGAGAGTGAACCATACCTTTATTTCTGTTATAAGATACAATTCGCTGTGTAAATTGGAGTTGTATTTAGACCTTCGGCCTTACCAAAGGAAAGATGTACTAGGAATTTGCCTTCCAGGCAGAAGGGTGTAATATCCGGTGAGCCAGTCTGGGAGGAGAGAACAGCACAGAGACTCAGCTTCTCAGAGCCAAGAGAAAATAGCTCGTTTTGGCGTCCTCAGTTCCCATGGTGACTCCGCCCACTCTAGCAGGAGCAAACACACGCACAACCACCCTCCTCAGGGAGTGGGTAGTCGGGGGCAATCCAAATGCCGCACCTTAAAGCAGTCCTTACACTAGTCATTCTGATTTGTGGGATCCTCCCTCTAAGGGGCAGCTGCTGGTACCAGAGGCCCTGAAACTTAAAGACACCTGTCTGGTATCATGGAGCTGGAGGAAGTGAAAGGCCTCACCCCCGCTACTTGATTGTGGTGGCAACGGTGGCAATTGAAGGGTAGGAGGGGAGGGGACTTGGAGGGGGTAGGAGTGAGGGGAGGAAAGGGTGTCAATGACCTGTACCCTAGACCCTAGAAACTTGTCCAGGCTGCCCCCAATTCCTAGGCCCAGCCCAGCACAACTGGACACACAGTCAGGGCTCCTCCTATTAAGAGGAAAAGGACATGACATCTCACGTTTGTGAATTGGAAGACTTGATATTGCTACTGTTAGGACTACTCCCAAGCTGATCTACAGATTCAAACAAACCCTATCAAAACCCCAGCTGACTCCTTTGAAAAATGAGACAAGCTGACCATAAAACTTTAGGAACATTTAAGGAAACCAGAAGAGCTAAAACAATATTTTATTTTATTTTTTTAATGTTTTTATTTATTTCTGAGAGAGAGAGACAGTGTGAGCAGGGGAGGGTCAGAGAGAGAGGGAGACACAGAATCTGAAACAGGCTCCAGGCTCTGAGCTAGCTGTCAGCACAGAGCCTGACACGGGGCTCGAACCCCCGAACCGTGAGATCATGACCTGAGCCGAAGTCGGATGCTTAACCAACTGAGCCACCCAGGTGCCCCGCTAAAAGAATAAGAGACTCACACTTCCTGAATTTAAAACTTACTACAAAGCTACAGTCATCAAGACATATAGAATACGGTATCAGCATCAGGATAGATGTGTAGATAAATAGAATAGAATTGAGAGTCCAGAAATGAACCTTCGTATTTCTTGTCCGTTGATTTTTCACAAGGATGCCATAACTATTCATTTGAGGAAAGAATAGTCAACAGGCATTGCCGGGACAACTGTATATCCATATATAGAAAACTCAGAATGGATCTTTTAACTCAGAATGGACCAAAAACCTAAATGTAAGAGCTTAAACTATAAAACTTTTTTGAAGACAACAGAGGTATAAATCTCTGTAATCTTGGGTCAAGCAATAGTTTCTTAGATATGACTCCAAAAGCACAACAAAAGAAAAAATAGATAAACTAGACATCATAAAACTTAAAAACTTTTTTTCCTTTCCCATCCCTCCATCCACCTCCCCTCTGGTAATCATCTATTTGTTCTCTACAGTTAAGAGCCTGATTTTTTTTGGTTTGTCTCTTTTTTCTTTTCCTTTGTTCATTTGTTTTGTTTCTTAAATTCCGCATATGAGTGAAATCATACGGTATTTGTGTTTCTCTGACTGACTTATTTCGCTAAGCATCATGCTCTGTAGCACCATCCATGTCATTGCAAATAGCAAGATTTAATTCTTTTTATGGCTGCATAATATTCCACCGTATATACATAAACTCCATCTTCTTTTTCCATTCATCTCTTGATGGACATTTGGGTGGCTTCCATAATTTGACTATTGTGAATAATGCTGCAGTAAACATAGTGGTGCATATACCCTTTCAAAATATAGTGTTTTCATTTTTGGGGGCTAACTACCCAGTAGTATGATTACTGGATCATAGGGTAGTTCTATTTTTATTTTGAGGAACCTCCATACGGTCTTCCACAGTGGCTGCACCAGTTTGCATCCCTAGCAACAGTGCACTTGGTTCCTTTTTCTCCACATCCTTGCCAACACTTGTTGTTTTTTTTGAGTTTTTGATATTAGCCATTCTGACAGGTGTGAGGTGATATTGTGGTTTTGATTGCATTTCTCTGATGGTGAGTGGTGTTGAGAATCTTTTCAGGTGTCTGTTGGCCATTTGCATGTCTTCTTTGGTGAAATGTCTGTTCATGTCTTCTGCCCCCTTTTAATTGGACTATTTGTTATTTTGGTGTTACATTGTAAAAGTTATTTACATATTCTGGATACTAACCCTTTATTAGATATGTCCTTTGCAAGTATCTTCTCCCATTCAGTAGGTTTTCTTTTCGTTTTGTTGATTAAAAACTTTTGTGCTTCAAAGAACACCATCAAGAAAGTGAAGACTTAATTAACAGAATGGAAGAAAATGTTTGCAAATCCCATATCTAATAAGAGATGTATCTAGAATATTTATAGAACTATTACAGGTAAGTATTTAACACAATGAAAAATAGGCAAAGAATCTGATTAGATATTTCTCCAAAGAAAATATTAAAATGGCCAATATATGCATGGAAATATGCTCAACATCATTAGCCATTAGGGAAATGCAAATCAAACCCACAGTGTGATACCACTTCATACCCACGAGGATGGCTACAAGCCAAAAGACAGATCACAAATGTTACTGAGGAGTTGGAGAAATTAGAATCTGCAAACACTACTGGTAGGAGTGAAAAATGGTGAAGGCGCTTTGGAAAACAGTCTGACAATGTCTTCAAATAGTCAAACATAGCGTTACTGTATGACCCAGTGATTCCGTTTCTGGTTACATGCTTCATAAACCTCTATGTTTATCCTTAGCAGGGTGATGGTCTGCAAGCACCATCTTGTGCAGCAGGTGAAGGACCCCATTCCTGGTGGGATATAGTAGTGGAGTTGGCCAGGTGCTATACGATGCTTAAACAGAACAAAGAACCATACATTGAGTCAGAAACAAAGATGTTCCCACACAATGCAGTAAGAGCCCCACTGGCGATGAGGACCAATACCCACTGGTGAGACTGATCTTGCTTTGTCCCTTCTCTATGTGAGTAAAGCATTGTTTTATCTAGTGCCTCTGTATGTATGTCTTTTTTGATGACCCTGACACGAACAGACTATAGAGTATGTTGACATCCAGAGACTGCTCCTCTTTGTTTCACATTGCTTGTTTCCGGACTAAAAGCCTAATCCCTAGAGTCTGATCTTGGGGACTACTGATCCATTTCCTGACTTAGGTTCACTGTGTTCCTCGGCTTTCAGAGCCTGCTCCATTCTGTGGCTCCCCCATCAGCCTTTTCATGTAGCTGCTTCCATGCTGGGCTTCCCTTGGTCTATGCCCTGATTTCAGCCCATGAGCAGCACACAAAGCAGGAAGAGTGTTATTAATAACATCAGATTTGTTATTGCTGGCTCTGTGGCCTGGCAAGAGACTTAGGCCCCCTAAGACTTAATTGCTTCCACGATAGAGTGGGGATAACAATCCTAACTTGCAGGGATTCAAAAAACACCTTTTGAAATTAGTTTAAGAATTATTTTTCAAAATGATGGATATGGAAAAGTATTCCTCAAAAGACATTAGACCAAAACATTAAAATACAGGCCTGCCAATACTACAGAACCCCAAATCTATTTTTTAATGTTTACATACCTATATGCACATATGTAAATACATTAGCAAGTTAACGATGCTTCTCAGTGGTAGGATTATTGGTGGGTTTTGTTCCACACGTTCCTAGATTTTCTAGTTTTTCTTCAGTGTGTTAGTATTATAATTAGAAGACAGGTAAAGGAAAAATATCACAAATCATACTTTCTTTTCCTTGTAAGTTTTAGGACTTTACTACATTACAGTGTTTTGCTACAATAAAAATCTAGTTTAGAAAGACCTTGAGGGGCACCTGGGTGGCTCAGTTGGTTAAGCTTTAGACTCTTGATCTCCTTGATTTGCTCGTCTCAGGTAATGATCTCACCATTCGTCCAGGTCTGTGCGATGTGGAAGCTGTTAAAGAGTCTCTTTCTCCCTCTGCCCCTCCCCTCCTCAAAATAAATAAATAAAAAGACCTTGAAAAGTTACTTTCTCTTCTGATAGAATTTCACTGGTGTATTTCTTTATCCCCTGACCCACTGGTGTATTTAAAACATAATTTCTCTTCACATTTCAGAACATTTTTGTTGCTATCTAGCCACTTTTTGTGTTCTCTTCCTGAGTCATCTACAGAAAGGTAGCTGCTGATTATTTTTAAGATCTTAATGAGCATGATTATGTATTAAGTAACCGACATTTACCTATGAGGCATCAGATAGATGGTGCACTGCATACTAAAAAACAGTAAAAAATATGTGTCCCTGACTTCAAAGAGGTTCCAGTTTAGTTAGTGCAATGAGAATAATATATGTCAATCAGTCAATAATATGCGTCAGTATTTGATCAATCGTAATCTTTATGGTATAGAAAATTAGTTCTCAAAGTGTTGTCTGTGGATCCCTGGGGATTCCTGAGATGATTTCGGGTGGTACAGAATCAAACTGTGGTAGGGTCCCATCCCTAAGGAAAAAAACAAACAAACAAACAAAACCTCAAGGTTATATGCGTACGTGACAACATCCCTCATGACCATGTAACATGAGACCACTTAATCGGACTACATGTTTGTATGTTACCATATATGGGAGACAAAGAAGTGGAAAATATATAAAAAACTACACCACGTGGCGTTCAGGGCTCAGTTCTTCTGGCACGAACCCAACTGAACAGTGCTGGCAGGGATAACGGTGCTTCCTGGGAAACAAAAAAAAGCCTTGGTGTCACGACTCTCTGTGCGAGAATCCTGTTACAAAACCATTTCATAATATTAAGGCCTCTCCCCTTCTCACTGTATTCAGAGTTGCACCAATGGGGTAAAAGCGTGTTGGTAAATCTGGAGACACTTTAGCACAAATCCAGGCAGTTTCTCCAAACTATACAGTTGACCCTTGAACAACACATGTTTAAATTTACATGCAAATTTTTTTCGATAAACACAGTAGAGTACTAAAAATGTATTTTTTCTTGTTTGTGATTTCCTTAATAACATTTTCTCTTCTCTAGTTTTATTGTTAAGAATACAGTGTATGATACAGATAAACACATGAAATACATATTAATAGACTATGTTATCAGTAAGCTTTCCAGTCAATAGTAGGCTACTAGTTAAGTTGTGGGAGAGTCAAAAGTTGTCAATTTTCAACTGCGTGGTGCTCAATGCCCCAACCCCCACTCTGTTCAAAGGCCAACTGTAATTAATATATTTTAAGATGGGAGTTTTTAACTTTTTGTTCTCAGGACTCTGTTATACTCTAAAAGTGGCAGACCAAACAACCCAAGAGTCAATTAAAAAAAAAACCCAAAACTAACCAACCAAAAAAAACACAGCTTCATGAAGGGGAATATTGGCTGGGGCTGTGTAATGGCTTCTTCCCACATAGCACAGTAATCATACCTGCTTTTTTTTTTTTTTAATGTTTATTTATTTTTTGAGAGAGAAAGAGGGAGACAGCATGGGGGGAGGGTTGGTGGAGGGAGCAGGGAAAGAGAGGGAGACACAGAATCAAAAGCAGGTTCCAGGCTTTGAGCTGTCAGCACAAAGCCAATGTGGGGCTCAAACCCATGGACCAGACCACGAGATCATGACCTGAACTGAAGTTGGATACTCAACCAACTGAGGCAGCCAGGCGCCCTAACACCGCTTTTGATTTACAGCTGGCAGTGAGGTTTAAGAGAGGTAATAGAGTAGCTTACACCCTTTCAAGCAAAACCAGGACAACCATAGAGCTAGCTCAATTGCATTCGGCAACACCTGTCTCGTAAGGCACATTCTATCTGGGGAAGAAAGAACAGTTTTTCTTGATGGTCAGGGTGATTATGCAGCTGAGCACATAAACCCAAAAAACTTAGCAAATCAGCCCCTAAATTTGGGAGCTGGTTTATCAGTCAGTCCTGTGGGCAGCATGTGATAATGCTTTAGGACATTGACACTGAAGTTTTGACTCTTCAACCAATGGGTTATCATCTATTAACAGATTGGACAGTGGTTACTCATCCACCACTTAGGCAAGAGCATTTGCTACTGGATCCCAGTGAGTTTTAACGTTCACTGCCTTAAACTGTCAAGTGGACAAGCAGTCCTTAAGCAGTAGTGTGGTCGCTAATAAGGCTACGTGTATCACCACTACAGCTGCTCAGCATGGCTTGCCATTCTTCCACGGACTCAGTGCAAGCTCAAACACGTTCAGACAGTTTATTACAAGGTCACCATGGTATCAATTTCCTGCATCCCTAGTCTCAGGAAAAAACAACCAGTAAATCAGAGGAGCCATATGGGTATTACCAGTAGTGATTGCTTTTCTGCTGAAGAATCAGCTCTAAACTTGAGTCAGGTGCTTCTATAACCAGCAGTCATTTCCAAAGGAGAGGTGAAGTGGTTAAGTCTTGTGATCAAATGCAGCTGGGGAGATGGATGAGACATGGCCTTTTGCTATTTCTCATAAGGCTACTTCTCTCCCTTGGTTTTGGGGAAATCCAGGGCGTTCCACCAAGACTCAGACTGCTATTAAATTTTGCCTACTTGGCCTGTATGGAGATGTATAAGGTAAACAGAGTGTCGTGGTACAGCTAGTCGCTTGCAGTATTTCAAACATTAAACCAGTCTTGAATTTGGGGGATCATTCCTGGAATAAATACACTTCTTCAGAGCGAATTATTTTTATAAATTGCTAGATGCAATTTGCTTATATTTTGTTGATAACTTTGCATCTATGTGGTAAAGAATTTAACCTTGCCTAAAGAGAGGTCTGCCTTTAGTCTCCTTGGCTTCTGGGAGATAATCTCTAAGTCCTTTAATGTCATTCCCGACTGAAATGTCTTTGCCGACTTAGTCACTGGACAGTCTAATGTGACTTAGGGTGAGGACTCTGAGTCATATGGTATCAGCTCCACCTCTTGAGGGAACAGATCAGGCACATGGGCAGTCAATAGTGCCTAAGTCATGGAACTCCATTGGACAGCAAGGGTCAGGTGAGCTTCCCTGGTCGACAATTCTCCATGTGCGTTGTCACATATTGCCCCTGAGAGCAGCTAACTATGATTCCTAAGGGACAGGATTACTCAAAGCTCTGTATTTGGAACCCTTCCAAACCCTGTTCTATGGCAAATTTTGATCCTTTCCCTGTGATGCCTGTGAGTACAACTTGCAGTAAGTTCTGAGTCCTTCTAGCAAATTAGTTGGGGACTCCTGAACTTGCAATTAGTGTCAGAAGTAAGCATGATCTGGGAGAACTCTAAATTCTATAGTGATGTCAAAAGTAAAAACAGTCTTTTGGAGACTGTTCCTCAAAGCTTGTAGCATTTATGCTCGTGGGGTATGTTGGCCTGCCATTTTCTTTTCTTATCTTTGTCTAGTCTGGTATCAGGGAAATGACTCTGAAAATGAATTGGGAAGTATTCCTTCTTCTATTATCTCAAAGACTTTGTATAGGATTGGTCTTTTTTCCTCCTTAAATATTTGATGGAATTTATTAGTGAAGCTATTTGGGCTTGGGGTTTTCTCTGTGGAAGAGTTTTTAATTAGAAATTAAAATAATCTTCTAGCTGCTTGGCTATTCGAAATTTCTATTTCTTCATGTGTTAGTTTTGGTAAGTTGTCTTTTTCAATGAATTTGTCCATTTTAGCTAAGTAGTCGAATATATTGCATTAGGTTGGTATAAATGTGTGAATAATATTTTTTTAATATCTGTAAGATCTGTACTGATGGCTCTTTTTGCATTTATGAGGTGACCAATTTGTGTTTTCTCAATGTTTTTTCTTAACTGAATAAATCATATTTAATTTAATAAATTATAATTAAATACTTTAATAATTGAATATAAATTTAAATCATTCAATTTAGGTATGTAACATTAAAATGTAATGAATTAGGTGAATCTGAATTAAAATTTATTTATTTATTTTTAAACATTTATTTTTGAGAGAGAGAGAGAGGCAGCATGAGCAGGGGGAGGGGCAGAGGGAGAGAGGGAGGCACAGAATCCCAAGTAGGCTTCAGGCTCTGAGCTCTCAGCACAGAGCCGGATGTGGGGCTCGAACTCACAAACCATGAGATCCTAACCTGAGTCGAAGTCGGAGCTTAACCGACTGAGCCACCCTGGCGCCCCTAAAGTTTAAATGTGTTAAACTGAAACTGAATTAAATTAAACCATATTAAGTAAAATGTAAAATATCAAAGTAAACAACAATTACGTTGAAATTAAATGATACAGGAGCGCCTGGGTGGCTCAGTCGGTTAAGCGAAGGACTTCGGCTCAGATCATTATCTCACCCTTCTGCGCTGGAGTCCCGCATCGGGCTCTGCGCTGACAGTTCAGAGCCTGGGGCCTGCTTCAGAATCTGTATCTCCCTTTCTCTCTGACCCTCCCCTGCTCTCTCTCTCTCTCTCTCTCAGAAATAAATAAAACATTTTTAAAATTAAAAAAAGAAATTAAATGATACAGAACATTGCACTGAATACATTGAATATTAAATTATTTTGAACTAAATTGAGTAAATCAGAAGTCAGTAATGTTAAATTTGAGTAATTACATTTAAGTTATACTTGAACTATACTCCCTTAAACTTATTTTCATAGGTCAAATTGTAATTAAAATTGAATTATATGAAATTCACTAATTGATACTAAAATAAATTTATCTGAGTACCTTACCAATACATATTCATCTATACTAACTGAAGTTAATACATTAAATGAACAATTAATTTGATGAATTAAGTTATTTGCTAAAATAAATTACAATCAAATTAAGATAACTCAGTATTAATTTTAAAATGGAGGCAAGTCTGAAGGTCCGTTTTGGGATTAAAAACCTGTTTTAGGAAGAGAGGGTCACAGAATCCGTGTTGTGACTTCTGTGTCTTTGGCATCTGTAATGGTGTGGAGGGGACAACGAGTAAAAACGTTTAGCAAAGGTGAAAACCCCCCACAAAACCCCAGACCTCTGAAAACACACCCAGGAGAACCATCAGCAGCAAAGCAGTTGCTACGTCCGGAGCCAAGAAACCCAGAACAAATGTTAGCAAAGAGTTGAACACTTTTCATTTTCCCCAGACCCCGCTCCTCAACCCGAATCGAGTCGTTTTGACTTTGAATGTGGGCATGTGGACACTTAGATGGTCATGAGTCGCGCACCCAGTGGAATTTGGGGTGGTGGCGGCACTGACCTATTGTAGGTCATTTGACCTCCCTGGTTGCCAGAGTTAGATCATTACCCCGACATGTCTAGTTCTCTGATCTGTCCTGAGTGTTTTTTTTAATCGTACTCAATCTAATTTAAATAAAATGTTAAAATTAACTGTATAGGAGAGAACGGAATGTGTATGAAACAAGAGAACCAAAGTGGACGTCACCAGGAACCGGGCAAATTCACAGGTCAGAGAAAGACTTGGTGAAGCCAGTTGTCACAGATTTCAAAACCTACTTTGGTTCGGCCACTTCTCACCAGAGGCGGTCAGTCCACACCGTTCATGGCCTTCCGCTGTTGCTTGGGAATAATTCTGAGGGGCGAGAGCACTCCTGCAAAAGCCCAGAGGCTGAACCGTGCCAGGCCTGGCTGAGGAACTGGAAGGGGGAAGAGAGCGGGAGAGTCGCGGGAGGTAACGTAGCAAATGTAACAGGGGTAATGGTTTCCTTCGCAGCGCACGACACCCAGTCTTCTGGCGTCTCGTTTTTACATGTGAAACGGAAAAGTGATTGAATAGATGAATGTGTGTAACTTGATACGGGTCGTGTTTCGGAAGCGGACACTTTTTCTGTGAACTTCTCAGCAGGACAAACCACCGGCCTACGGTATCGATGGTCAAAATGGCGGCGCCCTTGTGGAAGCCGCAATCAGGACGCTGCCATGTATTGTCTGTAAACGTACGGACTCGGCCATCTTACGGAATCAGATTCCAAGATGACGGCATCTGCGTGGAAGCCGCGCATAGGCGCGGCCATGTTGCCCGTAACGTTGCGTCCGTACAAGAAGTCACAGTACGGCCTCGGCCGACGGGGTGGCAGTGATCTCAGGAAGGCAGCGATGCAGGTGTGGCAGTGTTTCCTGCAAACGTACGGATTCGGCCGCCGTACGGTCCCAGTAGTCAATAGTCAAGATGGTGGCGCCTGAGAGACTGTAGCGGCTCTGGGCGCCGGATCTACTTGTTTGCAGCGGAGCCGACGCATTGGGCCTGCGCAATAAGAGTACGGTGCCCGGGAGGCGCGACCAAAGCGGAAGTAGTTGTGGGCGCCTTTACAACGGCCGTGGACGCCAGCGGGAGGTCTGTGCAGGTTCGCGGGTCGCTGGCGGGGGCAGCGGAGGGGTGCGCCGAGAGCGGAGAGATGGTGAGTACGGGTCCGGGGAGGGGGTCGGCGGTAGAGGTCAGTGGGATTGGTAGAGGCGGGGTCCGTGGGCAGAGGCATGGGGGTCTGTGGTGAACAGTAAGGAGAGTCTGGGCAGTATGGTGGGCGCCTGTGGTGAGCCTTAACAGGCGTCTGTGGGTAGAACGTTGGGGGTCTGGTGTTCTGAAATTTTTCTGATGTGTGAGCCATCTGGGAGCTTTGTGATGAGCCATTGTACGGGTCCGTAATGGAAGTTTGGCGGGGGTCTCTTTCGCTAGGTAGTTCCGTGGCAGTCCGTATGGGAGATTGGGCAGAGCTCAGGGGTTTGCGATGAGCCGCACCAGGCAGTGTGTAGTGAGCCGTGATGAGTCTGTGTCAAGGGACTCGAGGGGAACCGTCATGGGGGGCGGGCTTGCCTGTGGGGTTAATAACGGGGGCCACTGGGGAACGGTGTTGGGAAGTCTGTAGGATATATATCCTGTGGTGTCTGTGAGAAGCGATGGGGGCACTATGTGTTGAGCGGTGGGGTGTTTGTAACTAACGTTATGAGTGTGTAGATAGACTGATGGAGTGTTAGAAGTGATGGAAGGTCTGAGACAGAATGATGGATTTAAGAGCATGGTACTGGGGCGTTAGGAGTGAGTGACGGGAGCTTGTTGTGACCGTGATGGAAAGTTTATTGGCAGAATGTTGGGGTTTGTGGTGAGCCACGATGGAGCTGTAACAAGGAATAAGGCATTGTGATAGGGGTTCTCTAAGGAGCCATGATGGGGGGGTATCCCACAGGAGGGTGATGGTTCAGACCCAGAGCCTCCAGATGCTGGAGAGGACAGCAAGTCGGAGAACGGGGAGAATGCGCCCATCTACTGCATCTGCCGCAAACCAGACATCAACTGCTTCATGATGTGAGCCGGGGAGAGGCGGGTGGGGCTGACACCTGCAAGGTTGGGTGAGGCTGATGGGTCCGGCCCCTCACATCTGCACCACTCACCCCATCCTCTGCAGCGGGTGTGACAACTGCAATGAGTGGTTCCATGGGGACTGCATCCGGATCACTGAGAAGATGGCCAAGGCCATCCGGGAGTGGTACTGTCGGGATTGCCGAGGTGAGGGGGTGTGCCTGGACAGGGCAGGCAGGTCCGCCTCCCTTGAGGAAGAAGCCATAAAGGGCGGGCGGGTCGTGGGGAGTAGTGATCTATGTCTGTGGGCGATTGTTGGTTTGTGGTTGAGTTGCAATGGACACTCCATTGTGAGCCTAAATACAGGGTCCCACTGGAGGGGTTAGCCTGCCCTGGAGTAAGTGGACAGAGCAGGTGAGTGGGACCAAAAAGAAGAGGAAGAAAGAGTTCTGGAACCTTCCAAATCCCTCACTGTCAACCCATCCCGGCCCCACTGTCTGCCCCACAGAAAAAGACCCCAAACTGGAAATCCGTTATCGGCACAAGAAGTCACGGGAGCGGGACAGCAATGAGCGAGACGGCAGTGAGCCTCGGGATGAGGGTGGAGGGCGCAAGAGGCCTGCTCCGGATCCAGATCTGCAGCGCCGGGCGGGGTCAGGGACAGGGGTTGGGGCGATGCTTGCTCGGGGCTCTGCTTCGCCCCACAAATCCTCTCCACAGCCCTTGGTGGCCACACCCAGCCAGGTGAGTGGCTGCCACGGCTGGGATAGGTAGGGTGATCCTATGACAGGCCCTACTTGGGTTCCTGATTTCTGTTCCGGGCCCCTCCCTTCAGCATCACCAGCAGCAGCAGCAACAGATCAAACGGTCAGCCCGCATGTGTGGCGAGTGCGAGGCCTGCCGGCGCACAGAGGACTGTGGCCACTGTGATTTCTGTCGGGACATGAAGAAGTTTGGGGGCCCCAACAAGATCCGGCAGAAGTGCCGGCTGCGTCAGTGCCAGCTGCGGGCCCGGGTGAGCATGGGGAGAGCTGGGCAGGGCCAGGTGGGGAAGTATGTCCAGGAAGAGCTCATGGAGGCTAGGAGGGGTGGGCCAGGTGAGGTGGGGCCTAACTGCATACAGACAGGTGGGAAGGAGCCTGGCCTGTGCAGACGAATGGGGCGTGATCAGGTGTGCGGGGCTAGCAGGGGCACCTCCAACCCCAGATGGGCAGGCTAGAGCCAGATGTTTCAAGGCGGTCAGGAGTGTCAGGCCAGGTGGGACAGGGTTGAGCATGTCCTGGTGACGAGAAGTAGGAGCAGTGGGTGTGTTTCTGGGGAGGCAAGGCAGGGTTAGTTGGTGGGGCTAGGCTCTTGTGGGAGGGGCTAGGGCAGGGCCACCCTCCATCCACTTGGGGCTGACCTGGGCCTTCCTCCTGCCGGCACAGGAATCGTACAAGTACTTCCCTTCCTCGGTGAGTCCAGCCCCCCAGGGCGGGGCGGGGCATGCGGGCAGGGCGGTCAGGGCCAGTCCTGAGATTCTGCCCTGCAGCTCTCGCCAGTGACGCCCTCAGAGTCCCTGCCAAGGCCTCGCAGGCCACTGCCCACCCAGCAGCAGCCACAGCCGTCACAGAAGCTGGGGCGCATCCGAGAGGACGAGGGGGCAGTGGCGTCATCAGCGGTCAAGGAGCCACCAGAAGCTACGGCCACTCCTGAGCCACTCTCCGACGAGGACCTACCGCTGGATCCTGACCTGTACCAGGACTTCTGTGCAGGGGCCTTTGACGACCACGGCCTGGTGAGCAGGTGGAGTGTCCCGTGGTGGAAGGGTGGAGGTTACAGAAGCCGAGTTTTCATGATGAGAGAGAAGGCAGGGTATGGAAAGCTGATCTGGAACTGAGGACGTGGTGGGGTAGTCATGGGTAGGGCAGGTGGGTCAGCGTATGCCTCACTTGCAGCCCTGGATGAGCGACACAGAGGAGTCCCCGTTCCTGGACCCTGCCCTGCGGAAGAGGGCAGTGAAAGTGAAGCATGTGAAGCGTCGGGAGAAGAAGTCTGAGAAGAAGGTGATGGAGAGGGTGAAGTGGGTGTGCGAAAGCAGAGGGCAGGGAGGGGAGGGAGAGGCAAAGGTCAGAGGCTGGATGGGGCAAAGAAGCAGAAGGGGGTGGAATACAGGGGGAGACAGGCACTCAGGGCTGACTTCAACTCCACCCTGACCCGACCTGCTTTGTCCCATAGAAGGAAGAGAGATACAAGCGGCATCGGCAGAAGCAGAAGCACAAGGACAAATGGAAACACCCAGAACGTGCCGATGCCAAGGATCCTGCATCGCTACCGCAGTGCCTGGGACCTGGCTGTGTGCGCCCTGCCCAGCCCGGCTCCAAGTATTGCTCAGATGACTGTGGCATGAAGCTGGCAGCCAAGTGAGTCATTCCTGGAGGCTTCATGGGAGTCAGGGAGTATAGGGTAGGCAGTATAGGGGAGTAGACAGTATAGGGACTGTCTTCCCATCAGTCACCTGCACCCTGTTCAGTCCATGAAGCACCCAGCTATCCAGCCCTCACCCATCTCCCATTCAGGCGCTCATCTGCCTATTTATCTACCACTTAGTCGCTCATTTGCCATTTGGTCACCCACGCATCCTACCATTCTTGGATCCCCCCGCTTATTTTGTTGCTTGCCCTTCCCTGCCTGCACCTAACCAATTGCCCTGCTTGCCCTTCCCTGCCTGCAGCCGCATCTACGAGATCCTCCCCCAGCGCATCCAGCAGTGGCAGCAGAGTCCCTGCATTGCTGAGGAGCATGGGAAGAAGCTGCTCGAACGTATCCGCCGCGAGCAGCAGAGTGCCCGCACCCGCCTTCAGGAAATGGAGCGCCGATTCCATGAACTTGAGGCCATCATCCTTCGTGCCAAGCAGCAGGCTGTCCGTGAGGATGAGGAGGTGAGCAAAGCACGGGCCCAGCGGCACGGGGCCCAGTACCTGGTCCTGACTGGCCTCATCGTTCCTTCTGCTCCACGCAGAGCAACGAGGGTGACAGCGACGACACGGACCTGCAGATCTTCTGCGTCTCTTGCGGGCACCCCATCAACCCACGTGTTGCCTTGCGCCACATGGAGCGCTGCTACGCCAAGGTCAGGGTGTCAGCCTGAGGGGGAACGTCATGGGGTCTGTGGGGGACAGACGTGTTGTCTGGGGGTTGTCTTGGGATGCAGCCACATCCACAGTTCCCTCCATTTGTGCTCATCCCTCCAGTATGAGAGCCAGACGTCCTTTGGGTCCATGTACCCCACACGCATTGAGGGGTGAGTGCGGGCGCTACGTGGAGTTAGAGCAGGGAGGTTAAAGCTGGGGTCAGAAGTGGCATGTTGGGGCAGGCTGTGGGCACCGGCAAGGACAGGTGGGTCTCCCTCCACTACCCTCTCTTTATTCTAAACCCCCAGAGCTACCCGACTCTTCTGTGATGTCTACAATCCTCAGAGCAAGACTTACTGTAAGCGGCTCCAGGTGCTGTGCCCCGAGCACTCACGGGACCCCAAAGTAAGGTTTTCCCTTAACCGTCCCCCCCAGCCACCCCCATTCTGTCCTTTCTTCCTCCTCATGGCCCACGTTCATCCCTTGCTCTCTTCTGTCCCCTCTTTCCTTCCCTTTTCCACTTCTTGACTGTCCCCTTTCCACTATACTTGACCACTTCTGTAACCCCTGCTTTGCCTGCCTCATCATCCTTCATTCCTTTTTCCTCTCACCTCCTGTTCCTCCCCTTCTCCATTCCTCTCCTCTCCCTGAACTCTCCGTTCCTTCCTTCCTTCCTACCTCCCTGATCACTCCCCATGCCTGCCTTCTTTCCTGCCTCACCACCCCCATTCATCCCCGACTCTGGATCTCTCTGCAGGTGCCAGCTGACGAGGTATGCGGGTGTCCCCTTGTACGTGACGTCTTTGAGCTCACAGGTGACTTCTGCCGTCTGCCCAAGCGCCAGTGTAACCGCCACTACTGCTGGGAGAAGTTGCGGCGTGCTGAAGTGGACCTGGAGCGTGTGCGCGTGGTAGGTTTTGATGCTGGATGTGGCTGGGGTCAGGCGGGGCTTCTGGAGCTCCTTCTCATGGCTCTTCTCTACTCTCCTGTCAGTGGTACAAGCTGGACGAGCTGTTTGAGCAGGAGCGCAACGTACGCACAGCCATGACTAACCGTGCAGGGTTACTGGCCCTGATGCTACACCAGACGATCCAGCACGACCCACTCACTACCGACCTGCGCTCTAGTGCTGACCGCTGAGCCGCACAATGGCCCAGAAGTTGTCACACGCTGCATTCCAGGCTGGGGAGCTGCCCAGAATCCCCCATTTGTCTGGTCTGCCCTTCATATGTTTCTCCAGCGGTCCCGAGTTTCTCCCTGTGCCGATCCACCATTTGACTGCCCGGCTGTTGTTACCAGAGGGTCTCAGAACTTTTTCCTGTTCTTGTCTATTCCTTTGTCTCTCCGTTCTCTGTGCCTGGGTAGGACTGTGGAATCTGCTCACTCCTGCCCCCTCTTCCTCGTTTTGTTAATAAAATTTTGAAGAACTAAGATTACTACTGATGGTTTCCACACTTTATCCAGCTGCGACTGCATTTCCAAAGGCCTGGGGTAGATGGGCTGTGGCACACCTGTACCTTAGCAGGCGTGGCTGTATACAGCTTCGAGTACACTGTTGGCGCTTACTCTGTGCTCTGCAGGCGTCCCCGTGTGCGTTGGGTCTGACTTCCTGCGGGAGAGCCCAATCACCTACATTCTCAGCCCGTTTTGAAACAATGGGTATCCAGTCAGCACTAATTTAGTGTGTGGCTGATTTACCACTTCTGGGTCAGCACTGAGATTCTCCAAACTAGACGTATGCTAGATGTAACCGGGTCCCTTGTTTACCCACAACCCTCTTGGGACACGTATGTAACAGAAGCCCGGGAACTCCATCCCGCCCTCTCGATGTCAGTCCAGCAGTCCCCACGGCACTACCTTTCCAGAACGGACCCGCCCTACTCGGGTGCACGGACCTTCTGTTTACCTGCTGCGCGGCACGCCCCCTTCTCCAGTTCCCGCGGAAGGAGCCGGGCTCAGTGTGCGGCCGCACCAGTCCCCGCGCGCTCCCGCGGCCGTTCGGCGGGCCGAAGAGAGCGAAACACAACAGTCCTGGGGCAGATGTTCGGGGAGCCGGATAGCACAGACGCGGCGTAAGCGAGAGGTGGGAGAGGAGGGCTCCGGCACAACCTTAGGCACCGCCGCCCTTCCCGCCTGGGTACCCCTGGTGGAGACCGCCCGGGAAACATCACAGGGCCGTCCCCGACCCTCCTCGCCTCCTTAGGTTAGCAGAGCGCAGGCGCAAGCCAGGTGGGCGGAGTGGGGCGAAGGCGCCGGTTGGCGAGGTGAGGAGCTCAAGCGTTGCAGGTCTCCGATCCGGGGACGAGCCGTAGTTGGATGTCAGAGCGCAAGCGCAGTAGGGCCGGGCAAGAGGCGCGCGCCGCTGTGGGGCTGAGCACGCAGGCGCGGGGCCCTCCCCACTAAGGGCAAATGCTGGCGGGGCATTAGGGCGCAGGCGTTTTGCCGGGAGCGGAGCCCTAGAGGCGGGCGGCGGGTTTCCGGTTCCGGGAGCAACGAACGGCCGCGGCAGCGACAGCTATCGCTTCAGAGGAAGCGTCTGCGGAGGAGGAAGAAGAGCGGGGCAAGGCGGGAGTCACAGGCGGGACCCTCGCCATGGGTCCGCGGACCTAGAGCAGCGGAAGCTACCGGCCCGGTGCCGAGCTGGTGAGACAGTCGTGAGGGTGGAAATGGAGAGCGCTCAGGCGTAGGATGGGGAAGAATTGAGGCTCACAACGCTGACGGAGAGGAATGAAGGGCCCTCAGGCCGATGAGGGGGAGGAATGGCGGCGTCGGAATATTGAAAGGAGGAATGGAGAGGTTTTGGCGGCGGACGGGGAGGAAGGCGGCGCAGAACGCTGACAGGTGGACGTGTCGGGAGCCTGGACGAGGACGGAGAGGAATGGGGAAGGTTCTAAACGCTTGAGGAGAGATCTCGGGGCCTCTCAGGTTAAGGGGAGAGGAATGGGGGTTCCGAACGCTGAGAGGGAGAAGTGAGGGGTTCTCAGGTTGATGACGGGGAGAGACGGAGGCGTTGGGATGTTGAAAGGGAGCGACCGGGGCTTCGTCTGGAGAACGAGAAGTAACAGGGGTTCAGAATGCTGAGTTAGGGGTGGGCATGGTCTTGGGACAAGAACGGGGAGGGATGGGGTTTGGCTGAGAATGCTGACGAGAGAAGTCAGGGTCTCCGGGTGATGAGCGGGAGAGGATAGGGGACGCTGAAGGGAAGGGATGGGATGAAGAAACTTTTTAGCTGAAGATGAGAGGAATAAGGCATGGGGACTGAGATTGGGGAGGACTTGTGGCTCAGGACTCTGACAGGGGAAATGAGGAGGAGGCTTTCAGGCTGAGGAACAGAAGGTGTGAGGGGCTGTTCAGGGTAGAGGTGTGGAGAAGCTGGGGGCTGTCTGGCAGAGGACACAGAGGAAGTTGAGGCAGTAACACCGAGGCAGCAGGTAACGGGACATCAGAAAGGGAAGGAATGGGAAGGCTGAAAGACTGAAAGAGAAATTGAGGACTCCTGGGTCAAGGAAGGGAGCGAATGGGAGGTCAGAATACTGAGGCAGAGTGCTGGGACCTAGGTCTGAGGATGAGCAGAATGGGGCCTCTTGGGCTGACTGTGGGAGGAATGGGCTCTCTCAGGCTGATGATGGGGAGGGGAGTATGGAGGTTTCAGGGTGATAAAGGGGAGGAAAAGGGGCCGGTAGGTCAAAGACAGAGGATGTCTCCTGTGAGGAATGACAGGGTCCTGGGTTGACAGTGGGGAGAAGTGATGAGCTCTCAGGCTGAGGACGGGGAAGAATTGGGGATCAGTTCATTGGGTAAGAAACGAGGATCTTTGGGTTGAGGATGGGGACCTTAAAGTTGAAGATAGGGCTGCCTGGTCAAGAAGGGGTAGGAATGACAAGCGCCTCGGCCCAGGACAGGGAAGAGTGAGGTGGGAAAGGGGATTTTTCTCTTTCATATATTGGCCAGTTGCCTGTGGTAGGTCCCCGGTCTTGGACAAGCATTACTAAGTACCGGCGGTCTGTGTGGTTAGGGCACAATGTGTCCTCTCCTAGAGCCTCAGTTTTCCCCCTTGCCCCCTCCATGTTGCAGGCCGTTGCTCCTTCCTGTGGCCCCCATGGCTGAGGACTGGCTGGACTGCCCAGCCTTGGGCCCCGGCTGGAAGCGCCGCGAGGTCTTTCGAAAGTCAGGTGCCACCTGTGGACGCTCAGACACCTATTACCAGAGGTACTGGGTGGGTTGTTGGACAGAATCATGGGTAGGGCTAAAATCAGGGGGTGTGGTTAATTTGTGGATGGGTTAAAATTATGCAAATATAGTTGATTCTTATTATTTACAGATTCTATACTTGCAAATTAGCCTATTCGCTAATATTTGTACTCTCAAAGTCAATATTCAGCGTACTTTCACAGTCATTCATAGACATGCACAGAACAGCAAAAGATTTAATTTCCCCGATACACTCATTCCCAGCTGAGATTGAATGAGGCCTTCTTATTTTACTTCACATACCGTAAACAAGTGCCCTTTTGTGGTCTACTAAGTGCCATGTTTTTCACGTTTTTGCACTTTTTATTGGTGGTTTTGGTATTTACAGTGCTCCCACCCCAAGTATAGTGCCGAAGTGCTGTCTAGTGTTTTAAGTGCAAGAAGTCTGTGATGTGTTATAAGAAGAAATTACATGTTAAATAAATTTCAGTTGCGAGTTGCAGTATGGTTAGGTGTGAGTGCAATGTTAATGAATCAAAAATGTGGTACGTCTAGAAAAACAAAAGGAAATTTTCTAATTTGTACATAAGTCTCCTCTGGAAAACGCTAAAGTAACATGTATAGTACATGATGAAGCTAGGGGAAAGGTGGGAAAATAGCTAAACTTGAAGATCCATAAGACAATACTTAGGAAAATAAAATGTAGTGGATAGTGCAAGAAGCTGAAAGCCAAGGACATTGATGGTTTTGTTACTCCTGATTAGGAGTATGTTAAACCCATCTCAGCTAGTGCTGACTGGCTCACACATTTCAAAAGGTGATACATCCTGAAAGATGTTAAATTTGCATACAAGGCAGGTTCTACAGATCAAGAGTTTGCAGAGGAATTTTAAAAATACTTGGTAAGTGTTACATGGGAAAAGTGTCATGCAGAAAAATAGGTTTCACTGATGACTGACTTGTTTTACAAGGACCGTGGTAAAGGTTCAGATGGCCTCTGAAGCTCCTGGCTTTACGTCATTCAAAGGCCATGCTGTCGGTCACTTGTAAGAATGTATTAAGTAGAGTGTCTTTAAACAGGAGCACACATAAAACAAGGTTATGCATTGATTAGTTGACAGAAATGTCACCTGAGGCTCACAGTACCCTAAACTGTAGTTCCACAAGAGCAGAGGTTCTGTATTCATTTATGCAGTGCTCAGCGTGACCCTATAAGACATACCAGGAATAGTGGGAATCGACTATAAATGCACAAATGTATATGTTTATATGCAGTTCACATTTTAAGGATCTAAGGTAATTAATGAATTTTCTGCATTCTTCCTGAACTTTTTTTTTTTTTTTTTTGGTCTAAGTTGCTGTTTTTCTGGAGGAATAAAGTCATAAATACAATTATATTTGCTTATACTTAACTGTATGTTTATCCATATTCACAACTTGTGTGAAACTGCCAAAATTTAAAAATTTAAATGCTTTTGTCTAGACCCATAAAGGAGCAGGATTTATCTTAATTAGGGTAAGATAACAAGCATGTCACAATTTTGTGAATGCTGGTAGGATATACGAGACTCCTGGGTCAGAGATGAAAGATAGTTTATTACTCACAGTAACAGCAGTATCCAGAATGTCATTAATTTTGTGCCAGTTCCCCAAATGCCATTTCCCATAGCGTGACCTGAAGAGGACTGACTAGCTTCTGCCCATGCATTGGGTTGTAGGAAAGGAGTCCTGAGCTTAAGGAATCCAATCTTTTGTAACGTTAGGACAGTAAGGATGCCTTCCCTTTGCTCTGAAAGGAGAACTTATCTCTTATCTTCCAAGGCTGTTTGCTGTACAAACATCCTTGAAAAGATAGTTCATAACAAAGAACTATCAGTGCCTCTCTTGCAAGACATGCGGAAATGCTAGAGACCTTTTGGGTATTCCCTCCGAGAATATTAATTACTCCTACTTAGTTTTATATGTAGTTGCATTTGTTTCTTTGTACATGTTTTTATATACATATACGTATGTTCGTTTGTTCACGCGTATATTTTTGAACGGGTGCTTCTTGTATTTTTTTCTTTTTTACGTATTTAGTATTTTAACTTTAACGCGTTTATATATTACTCAACAAGTTTGAATTTCTGTCTGTGTTTATGTTTATTTACTTAAACAGAGTGCAAGTAGTAGTATATGTTATTAATGGACGTGTATCTATTTATGTTTATATTGCTCATTTGTGTTTGTGTATATGCTGGTATCTAAACACATTTTGTGTTTCTGCTATGTGAGCTTAGTTGGGGTAAGACCTGGTCAGGGCTCACAGGCCAATCCCAGGCTGCCAGCCCTTGATCTCCTGCCAGCCCAGCACCCTCCCATTGGGAGGGTTGTGAGGGTGGAGTGGCCACAGCTGCACTTGGGTACCAACCCATCCTGGCCCATTCCCAGCCCCACAGGAGACAGGATCCGAAGCAAAGTTGAGCTGACCCGATACCTGGGCCCTGCGTGCGACCTTACCCTCTTCGACTTCAAACAAGGCATTCTGTGCTATCCGGCCCCCAAGGTACTACACAGTGTGGGGTACCCAGGCAGGGGTGACTGAGCCACCTAACACCCACCCACAGGTCTCTTCCCGCTTTCTTTCTCATTTGCAGGCCCAACCTTTAGCTGTGCCTAGCAGGAAGCGGAAGAAGCCTTCACGGCCAGCCAAGACTCGAAAACGTCAGGTTGGACCCCAAAAGGGTGAGGTCAGGAAGGAAGCCCCAAGAGATGAGACCAAGGCTAATGCTGACACAGCCCCAGCTTCACTCCCTGCACCTGGGTGAGTGTTGGCCTAAAGTGAGCCAAGAGGGTGAGGGTTGTGGTTGGGGGCACACTCAGGTCCCCACACCCATGTTTCCCATCCCAGGTGCTGTGAGAACTGTGGAATCAGCTTCTCAGGCGATGGTACCCGGAGGCAGCGGCTCAAGACCTTATGCAAGGACTGCCGAGGTGAGTGGCCCCAGAGCCCTGGGAGATAGAAGTGGAGCAGGCCTGATGTCAGGCTGGGACACCGCTGTCAGGCTTCAGGTTGAATGTTGGATGAGGTTAGATATCTGATGCTCCTTGTCCACTTCTCTTCTTCCCCCTCCCTTTCCCCAGCGCAGAGAATTGCTTTCAATCGGGAACAGAGGATGTTTAAGGTAAGCACGACCTGCCTCCTCCTCACAAGTGTGTGGTGGGAGCAGGATGTGATGGGGGCCGGTAAGAAGGTCTGAAGGAATGATGATGGATCCACAGGGTGTCAGAATCATTTTGTAGGGAGCCAGCTACGGCCAGCAGACAGTAATGTGTTAATGGGGTCTCAGTAGACACAGTGATGAGGTTAACCAGGCACCTGGAGACATTGGGGATGGACTCTGATGATGGCTTATTAGTAGTCAGCTATAGTGATGAGGCATATGGTGGACTCCTAGACGTGGCAATGGGGGCTGAAAACAGACACATAAGGGGCAACATACCTGGAGCTACTCTGTCTGGGCCTGTGACCTCGCCCCACCCATTCCTGGCAGCGTGTGGGCTGTGGGGAGTGCGAGGCCTGCCGGGTAACCGAGGACTGCGGGGCCTGCTCCACCTGCCTTCTGCAGCTGCCCCATGATGTGGCCTCGGGGCTGTTCTGCAAGTGTGAGCGGAGACGGTGCCTCCGGATTGTGGAAAGGGTGAGTTGGGCAGGTAGGGTGGGCCCAAGGCTCACCCTATCCCCTGGCTGTCAGAGCCCTGGCCCCATGCATCATGCCTCTGGCCTCCTTGACAGAGCCGAGGGTGTGGAGTGTGCCGGGGCTGTCAGACCCGAGAGGACTGTGGCCGTTGCCGAGTCTGCCTTCGCCCGCCTCGCCCTGGTCTCAGGCGCCAGTGGAGGTGTGTCCAGCGGCGCTGCCTACGGGTGAGTCAGGCTGAGGGGGCCAGGGCTGTTGGGGCCAGGGCTGGGGCAGAGCACATTCTGCTGTTAAAGTTGCTACTGCTACTGCTGCTTCTTCCCAGCCTTGCCCACCTCATGTCTTCTTTTCTCCCCCACCCTATGCTCACCTCCCTGGCCTCACCTACCTGCCCCTATCTGCCAGCACCTTGCCCACCGTCTCCGTCGCCACCATCAGCGATGTCAACGACGCCCTCCCCTGGCTGTGGCTCCCCCTGCTGTGAGTGCCACACCCTACCCTCTGTCTGTCCCACGCATGCTTTCTGTACTCCTTTTGAGGGTGGGGGGTAGATGTGGGGGTCCTGGGTCGGCCTGGTTCCACCAGGCCTGAACTTCTGTTCTGGCTTTCTCCCAGGGTAAACGTAGCCGCCGCAGAGGGGGCTGTGACTCCAAGATGGCTGCCCGGCGGCGCCCCCCCCGAACCCAGCCATTGCCTCCGGTTCCCCCATCACAGCCTCCAGAGTCCCCAGAGCTGGTGAGGCCCTGGTGGGCAGGGGGAAGGCACAACTATAACTTTGCCCAGCACCTGCCCTGACCCCACCCCGTTTGCCTCTGCAGCACCCCAGAGCCCTGGTCCCCTCGCCACCTGCCGAATTCATCTATTACTGTGTAGACGAGGACGAGCTAGTGAGTGGCCCCACCCTACCTGGACAAGCCTAGACCCTCCCAGGGCACTTGGTTAATTGCAAAGGAGCAGCTGCTGCAATGGGCCTAATAGGGGAACAGCAAGACAGAGTAATGGGTACTAGCAGGGAATAAGCAGACAGCAGGGGAGGGACTAACATGGGATCGACAGGTGCAGTGATAGAGTACTTAATGTCAGATGAATCAACACTCTGGTGGGGCTAGTATAGGAAAAGCTAGTGTAGAGAATGGAGTTCACACAGGATGAGCAGATTCAGCAGGCACGGTGCCGGTAGCTATAGAGGGTCAGCAAAACGCTGCTGGAGGTGGGGGTCAAAGACGTTGTCTTGGCAACCATTGGTCTAGCAGATGAAGTCACGGATACTGCATTGGAGCAGCCACAGTCCTAATGCTATCAGGCACTGTCCGGTATGGTGATAGTGCCTGGTATAGGACTAGCAGATGCTGAGGTGTGACTAAGACCAGTGCACAGCCACTTCCCTCTGATGGGGCTAGTGAAGGGACAAGAAGAACAGCACTTGAATATTACCAGTAACCGCACCCCCGCCCTTGCCTATCCCCCAGCAGCCTTACACCAACCGCCGGCAGAACCGCAAGTGTGGAGCCTGTGCAGCCTGCCTGCGGCGGATGGACTGTGGTCACTGCGACTTCTGCTGTGACAAGCCTAAATTTGGGGGCAGCAACCAAAAGCGCCAGAAGTGTCGTTGGCGCCAGTGCCTGCAGTTTGCCATGGTGGGTGATGCAGAGGAGTCAGGCGGGTGGGATGAGTTAACCCAGGGCCCCCACTGTCTGGGAATGGTGGGCAGGCCTCGTGGGTGGGGTGGGCCAGATGGGTTCTGCATTTTCAGAAGAATGGATGGGATGGTGGGTTCAGCTAATGAGTAGCAAACATTGTGCCGGGGTGAACGAATCGAAGTGGCACTGGCAGGAGACTAACAGGCTCAATGAGGAGGGCCTCATATGAAAGCAGGTTCTGTGCCGCAATTAATGTGGATTAGCAGGCATGTTGATCAGGGCAGGGTGGTCGATCATTGTGTCAGGTGGCCATAATACCCTGTCTTTGTTCAGAAGCGGCTGCTGCCTAGTGTCTGGGCAGGATCTGAGGATGGGGCAGGGCCACCCCCACACTCTCGTCGAAAGAGACCTGGCTCTACTCGAAGGCCCCGTCCGGGTCAGATATTGAAGACCTCCTTGACCGCACCTACCGCCCGACCAGGCCATGCCCAGACTCCAATGAAACAAGAAACAGGCAGTGGCTTTGTGCTGCCCCCACCTGGCACTGACCTTGTGTTCTTACGGGAAGGTGCAAGCAGTCCCGTGCAGGTGCCTGGCCCTGCCGCAGCTTCCACAGAAGCCCTGTTGCAGGTGAGGATCCCATCTTGGCTTGCCCTTCCCAGTCCTACCCAGCCTTGTGCCAGGAAGCTGGGACCAAGACTGCTGCAATCCTCCTTCACACAGGAGGCCCAGTGCCCTGGCCTGAGTTGGGTTGTGGCCTTACCCCAGGTGAAGCAAGAGAAGGCGGATGCCCAGGAAGACTGGACACCGGGCACAGCCATCCTGACTTCTCCTGTATTGCGGCCTGGCTGCCCCAGCAAGGTGGGGGTCGGTGATGGGTGGTCTGTGAGCAGAGTGATGGTGAGCCATGATGGTGGTTCTTTGAGCAGAGCAACAGATGTGCTGATTGCAGCCTCACCACAAAATTACCCCACCTGTCTGACAGATGCCCCACCTTCCCCAGGCAACTAACTTTGCCTGCTTGCTGCCCAGCTAACAAAATGGAACTCTGAGGAATGGGAAAGGTTTGTAGGCAGAGAGATGGATTTTCTGGGCTGAAATGTGACAGAAGTGGGATTTGTTAGTATGCTGACAGGCTTGCTGATAAGAGACTCTCTTCTCAGGCCAACCCTGTCCTTCTGACTGCTGCCTGTTTCCTACCTCTCCCAGGCAGTGGACCCAGACTTGCCACGTGTGAAGCAAGAGCCACTGGACCCTGAGGAGGACAAAGAGGAAGAGAGCAAGGATGACTCCGCCTCTGACTCGGCCCCAGAGGAGGAGGCAGGAGGGGCTGGCACACCCGTGGTCAGTGCTGGGGGACATTTCACCCTCCCCTGACCCTGCTTTAGCCCCACTGGCCACGATGACCCATGATGTTAATTCTTCCCCAGATCACGGAGATTTTCAGCCTGGGTGGAACCCGCCTCCGGGACACAGCAGTCTGGTTGCCAAGGTGTGCCCCACACAGTGAGGGGTGGTATGGGGTTGGTGCTGGTCAGATATGGGCCCTGAGTATTAAAAATAGAGCCAGCAATTTGGCATAATGGCAGTGGGAGGTAGCAGCTTATATCACTGTGCTGATCATGGTCAGTGAGGGGTTATGTGTAGGACCCTAGAGACTTTTTCCTGAGGTTCAGGTTAGGGCTTTCCTTGGGGGTGTGGGGGTGCCATAGAGAGACAGGGGTCAGTGGTGGTTAAGGACTTGATGCCCTATGATGAGATTTGGAAGAAAAGGATAAAAGCCTGATCCACATCTTCCTAAGAAAATCCAGAAGGGTTCAGATTTAATATATAAATTCTTATTCCGTGAATCATCATTTGGGGTTTTGAAGGTGTTTGGAGTCTCCAAGAGATGACAGGTGGGCTGGACAGTGGTGGGTGGGTGGATCTGGGCCCTGAGATGTGCAACTGTGCAATCTTAGGCTGCTCCTGCACCTCCTGGATCGTCCTCTGTGGACAGGGTTGGGCTGCATTTCTTGAACCTTTCCGGAGCCTGTTGAGGTTATTAAGAGTTTCAGCTGCTTCACAGAACTGTCCCTGCAGGCCTGGCAATAGTATGAAAGATAGCTTCCCCTAAGGACAGGGCTGGTGGGAGGAGGACAGGAATCCTACCTCCTAAAGAATGTTCTCAGGCTGTACATAGGGTTCCAGATACAGGCAACATAAACTGTTGGCCTAGGCACCTAGATTCCTTTGTTCCTCCAAGCTAGCTTCTGCAGGCCAGAAACTCCATCTGTCTTGGGCAATTACAGAGGTACTGATTGAGTACCTGCCTGGGTATGCTGCAGTGTGAGAGATACCATGGTGAACACAGTGACCCTGGAAGGCTTCTCCTTCAGGAGACATGGATTCCTGCCTTCAGGGAGCTTACCATCTAAGTAAGGAAACCTGTTTCCTTGTGTGTAAAATCATTATATGTTAACGGAGAACTAACAGTTCAGGTGTTTGTAATGGAATATTTTAGCAGAGAGATAAGAGATAAGGGATAATTATGGGGAAATGGATTCCAGGCACACAATACTAGGAAATGGTCTTGTGATGCTCCATTTTGCAAAGAGCGAACCTCATTCAACATACAGTCCTGCTCCCTCTTCTCTAGGTCCAAGGACCTTAAAAAACCTGGAGCTAGAAAGCAGTAGACTGGAGGCTTCTGCAGACTGTAGGATTCAAGGTGATAATTTACAGACTGGCTTTATGACAGACAACACTGATCTACTCAGAGCTGGACCATAGACCGAGGGGCATTTGTAGGATTCAGTAGGAACTGGAAAAACCTACCACCAAACCAGAGAATCAGGCCGGCCTGTTCAGTACTTTGAGCTTATAGAGGAAGTAAGGAGGAAAGAAAGAGAAAGAATAGAAAGTTGTTGCAGCTGCTCCAACTGGTGCAAATCTCAGGAGCTTGACTGTGACCAGAAGTGCGGATATTATGGATGGGAGAATCTGGGGTGGAGAGGGGATGTAAAGGCCACCACAAAACAGCCTATACAAGCCATCTTCATAAATAATTTTTCAGTGGCTTCTGGATGAGACCTGGCAGTGTTTCTGAACATTTCCATTTCCACAGAGAGACAGCATTTGAAAATATAATGTGAATAAATGAGGAAAGGAACTTCTATTTGGTTAGTTCCTCCTACTGATCTATTTTATTTAATTCTGAAATCTTTTTAGGAAGACAATGATTTTTGCCCATTTTTGCATATGGGAAAACAGACTCAAAGAAGTTAAATAACTTGTCCAGTGTCAAACAGCTAGTATCAATAAGCCTAGAATCAGACCCAGGTCGTAAAAACCTTGTTTAAGCCACCGAACTATAAGCTGTAATACTATATTCGATACTGTGTAATATTATAGTGACAGAAGTTTTTAGTGACCTTGAAAACAAGGTGGATTACTCTAAACAGAACAAATCCTTTACACTGCTGCCTCTAGTGTGGTTTAGGAAGTGCTGAGGCTTTTTGGATGGGGTCACCTTGTCTCAACACCCTGGCATCCAAGAGACTGGGTTCTTCCCAGGACTTGGGTGTTGTATAATATTCCGCAAACACTAAAGGACGTCCTTCCCTGGTGGTCACTGTTCATTTCGCTTGTTACCCTCCTCCTCGGCTACAGCAGTCTTCAGAAGTACAGCTGCCAGCTTGGCTCATCTTTGCTGACAACGTACCTCCCTTGCCCAGTGACGACTTTTGTGCTTGGTTTCTGCTTTTGGCCCCTCTCTGCTAGGAGTATGAATTCCTGCTTCCAAGTCCTGCATAAGGGCCAGTCTTGGCTCAGCCCTGCCTCATTTCCCAGTTTTTCATAAAGTGCCAAAAAATATAGGCCTGCAGTTTGTTACTTAGCCAGCTTTACAGGGCTGTGACCGAGTGCATGCCTCCTTAAGTTTTGTAGCTTTCTGTTTTCCCCTGCCTTACTCTAGTCCCTGTCCTGCAGCTTTAGGTAATTCATATGAAGATTAGATATTTCCCTACCCATAACCCTTTCTGCTGCCCTCCTCGGCTGCTTCCTTTGCCTTACCTACCTGAGCCAGAGTCAAGACTGGATAATTTACTGATACTGTTTTGCTCTCCCCAGGACCCAGCCACCCAACCCTAGTATTCTGTACTGTCCTAAATGAAATTTATTTGATGGGCATTCAGACTCCTAAGAGTCTGGTTACAGTGTGTATCACAGTAGGATTGGAAAAGCAGCACCATTAATATAGAGATTATATATATATGTATATGTATGTATATGTATATATATGTATATTGAGGGACTTGTAGGGATTTGACCTTACATAGTAGTGGGAGCTGGTTAAACAGTCTCTGTAAGGCTGTTGTCTTTACATCTAATGCTGGAGCTTGAAGTCTGCAGGGCAGGCAATCGGGAAGGGAAGATGGATGTAAAGTGTGGGAGACGGAGGACACTTTGGCGCGTAGGAGCACGAGCACGAGCACGAGCTGGAACCGGAACCGGCGAGGATGGCCTAGAACCCATGTCAGTTTCTCACCACCTCCAACTTCGATAATGTGGGTGTCCTGCAGAAGAAGCTGGTGCCCTTCATCACAGAGTTAAATACTCATCTGACCCAGGAATTAGAGACGCTGAAGGAAGATCCCAGGGAAAGTGGAGCAGCTGCAGGCCTGGCTGCAGGCCTGACTGCTGCCCCACACCAACGAGGTGAGCCAGCAGATAAGTGACAACATGTGTGAACTGCAACAGTGCCTGGTGCCACGCACCAACCTTCCGAGTGTAAAAACGGTGTGCTGCTGCTTGACTTCTGCCCTCCAGTTACCATGCAAAATGTCTCTTGTGGCCCATCCTAACCGGAAGCATACGGGGAAGGGAGTTCTGGGAAACATAGCCTAGTCAAGGTGACACATTACAAAGCCACCCTGCCATGAATCAGCTCCCAAGGGTCTCACTGCTCACCTGAGGATAACTTGATAAAGCTACGTTGCTGAAAATGCAAAGTTGAAGACCATGGATTTCATGGTGACCCCAGCAAGTACAGAAATTCTGTCAAGCCCACCCAGAAAAAACTTGCTGGTCTCGGCTATTTTTGTATCATTCATTCAAGTATTGAGAACCTGGCCCATGGTAGGCACTGTACTTGATACTGGGATACAGAAATGAAAAAGATATAGTCCATGCAATTTTATTAAATACATCAATATGTATTACCAGTGGTGAATGGATATCCAACTTTATCATGGAATTTCATGGTGAAAATCTAGAGTTCAGGAAACTGTCAGGAGGACAGCCCTTGCGTGAACCTTGTTGGGGCACAATAGGAATTGGAAATAATATAAATAGTTTTTATCTCTGAGCTGTTCTATTTTAAAATTATTTTAAAATGACTTTTATTGTCCTGTTTACTGTTTTATATACTTAGTGTTTATTTGGGGAGTGTCTTGGTGGTGGTAACTGTTAACTCCGAGAAAGTGGGATGGTGGGTGGCAAGATCTAGGTCAGGTTCTGTCTTAGGACCGATCACTTCTCTAGGCCTTGGGGCAGCTTGGCTGAAAGCGGAGGCTAGCGAGGGCTAGCTGGGCTCTGGTCCCGGCCCCGCCCGGCCACCCTCCGAATAGGCCCGCCAGGGGGCGCCGGGGCCGCGGTCATCCCACCAGGGCTCGGGAGACGCTGCCCCCCACCCCAGGCCTGGGCGGCCCAGGGGCGTGGCCTCTGCCTGGCTCGGATGCCGATCGTTGGCGGGACCGGGAGAAAAGCCGACTCTCCTTCATGTGGTGGTAAAACAGGCAGAACCGCACTGGAGTTAACTTATGGGGCGCGCCCGGGGTGAGGGTGCGGCACCACGAGCTCTGGACCGACGCTGGGACGTTCGAGGGCAGCAAAGTATCGCCAAGGGTCGTCTTACCCCGTCGCCGAACTCCTTTCGACGGGATCCTTCGGGCTGTACGACCTCTAGGGGTGTCCGACGGGCTCTCCTGTAACTGCGCTGCTCATCCCAACCCCCGTGCCTGACTGAGGGCCTTTTCATTGCCTCCCTTTTTTCCCAAGGGTGTAGTGTGAGGGGTGGTTCCACCCAGATCAACCGGCGGGCCAGTCGTCCCTGGGACTTGAAGATCAAGGAACTGACCCACAGGACTCAGTCCAGGGAACAGAGACGACCTCTAATTTCTTTCTTTTTTGTTTGTTTCAGGCTACATAAACTCTTAGCAGTAAATGAAAATGAGTATTTTACCGAACTGCAATTGAAAGAAGAAGCATTATAGGAGAAAAAAGACAAAAAGAATTATTAAAAGATTATTAAAAAGAGAAAAGACATTATTTTGTGGCTGAAAAGCTGAACCAGCAATTCAGGAAACGGAATCCAAATCTAGAAACGTACCGCATACGAAATCTGAAGTGGGTGGATTACAAATGATTAAGGAATGCTAATTTAAAGTAAATTGCAGCCTTGCGACGGTGTACGCAGTAGTTGTACTTTGGTTGTTAGATGTCAGTGACTAGGTTCTGATTTGTTTCTGTGCTTAGCGTGCCGTGCTCGTCCTGCTTTAGAAGGAGAGTACGAGTGTCATTCTTTCTTAACCGACTTTTAGTGACTTTTAGTTACTACCACCTCGCTTTTGACCAGAAGTACAGCTGTGGTCTCCACCTGTGCTGAGGGCCCCTCCTGGGTTCCCTGATCGGTGTTGCCTGTTCCCTTTCCTGGGATACAGATTCTCAGGCCTCATTACCTGCCCTTCTTACCCACGTCCTGACTGGTTTACTGGGACCCCTAACTCAGACTCTTTATTTTGCCCAGCCGGGTCATGTCATGCCCTCCTAGCCCATCTGATCTGCTCCCTCCCCCCATCCTAAGGCACCCTGAGACAGGTCTGGCTTCTGCCCAGTGCAGCAGGAAGATTTTATTAAAAACCGATTTATCATTACTGGTGTGGGTGGGCTGACAAGACAGGCTCCTCAGGCCTTGATTGTCTTGGCTGGAAAATGAGGATAATACCTGCTGTTCCCATCAACCCTCTGAAGTATCTGTGAGGTCCAAAGGTTTTATGTATGAAAGTACCTTGCAAATTACCTTAAAGAACTACACAAATATGAGGTTGTTGTCCTGTGATGATTACTACCATCATCAAGATTCACTTAGAAATGGCCGCAAAATTTAACCTTCCCATAAAATATCCACTAACTTTTCTCATGCTTTTAGGCTGATTACAGTATAGAAATAGCAAAGTCATTTGGAATGTAATTAGACCTTCGCCTTCACTTCGGGTTAAGGAGGCTTATCTCTGTTATTCTGATGAACCCTAGAGGAAGGGAGCGCGGTTGCTGGAGGCCTGGCCGAGGGCGGGGTGAGGACCGCGCAGACTCAGCTCCTCGGCTCCGGGAGGAAGTTGAGAACACCGGCGTCTATGGTCACCATGGTGACGGGACCGACTTCGGCCCCTCCCATCTGCCCCTCACCCTGCCGGGCGCACCATGGCAACCAGACCTCTGCATTGCGGAAGCTGGTCTCACTGGTCTCCACAGTTGGGAAACCGCGGCGGACGCCGCCCCCATCCCGAGGGACTCGAAAATGTACAGCCAGCGATTTGGCATCACACAGCGGGAGGTTAAGGGCCCCACTCCCAAGGTGGTGATCGTGGTAAGCACGGGATGTGTGTGCGGGACCCTACCGCTTTCTGCATTTCCCTGCACTTCAAGGCCAGCCGAGCCCATCCTGGCCCCAGCCGCGGCTCTCACAAGGGGAGCAGGTGCCTGTTGCAGTGGGGGTTGAATTTGAAAGAAGGGAAGATAGGTCATTCACCTAGCTCCTGTACTCTGTCCCTCAACCCTTACCCTTACCGCCCTCGCACCAGTTATATTTAGATTCTGTATTTGTAGAATCACCGCTTGGGATACTGAGACTTTTTCAGGCTCCAAGACACCCAAAGGAAGGTCTGTCCCCTTGTGATGTGGCGTCTGTCACTGGAAGGGTGCTGGGCTGGGGAAGGGCAGAAAATAGGGTCTGGGCTGGTGGTGATTCAGCTGTATGATCTTGGGCTGGTCCTGGCATTCCCTGATGAGATGGTATAAGAAAGGGGATTGGGCTGTGAGGGTTGTGAGCGGTTATGGTGCCCTTCCTATACCAACTCAGCTGTGACAGAAGTGTCCCTGCAGGCCTGGAAATAGGATGGTTGGTTGCCTCTAAGCTGGGGTGGTGATAGGAGGCTAGGCGAATGCTGTGTGCTGCAGAATTTGATGGGTCTTGCTCAGAACCCCAGACACTTGGTCTATGCACCTGGATTCCTTTGTTCCTACAATCTAGTCTCTACAGGCTAGAAAGCCTTCTTGTGTAATTGGCAATGATAGAGGTATATTCTTGAGCCCCTGCTGTGTTCACAGCACTGTGAGAGATACAGGGGTAAATATGATGACCCGGGGAGGTTTATTCTTCATTAAAAGTCTGATCCCTGCCTTCCTGTTGCTGCTTTTCTAATTGCAGAAACAATTTGTTCATTCATAAAACCATTAAAAGCTAACACAGTGGATAGTCATGTGCTATATTGTCTGTGATGGTAGTTTATGGAAGAAATATCAGGAATAATGAAGTATGCAGTTTTACTATGCACCACAGAGCACATAGAGTGTCCCAGTCCACTTATAGACCTGCTCCCTTTTCTCTAGATCCAAGGACTATAGGTTCTTGGTTGGGAAGTCAATAGATTGGAGGCTTCTACAGACTGTAGGGTTCAAGGTGATAATTACATATTTCATGGACAGAAACTGATCTACCCTGGGTTCTATCCCAAAACAGAGATCAGGGGCTGGGCTACTGTTCAAGTGCCATTCCTTGTGATGGGAACCAATAAGGAACAGAAAAAAAAAATTTTGCCACCAAACCAGAGAAGCAGACCTATTGAATACTTTGAGCTTATAGAAGAATAAAGAGGAAAAGGGAAAAATCAGAGTTGTGCATCTCAGATGTCAGAGTGTGATAAGAAGTGTGGGTGTTGGAGATTGCAGAGTTTCGGTGGCAGAAGATTAAAGCCACCAGAGATGAGACTTGATGCTAAACAATTCCTCCAGGAGAAAGCCGTAAGTGACATAACATCTGAAGTAAAGAAGAAGTAAAGGAACATTTATTTGGTGAGTGCTGCTTAGGGACCAAATTACTTAATTCTCAAAATAGTTTCTTAGGAGCACGTTTGATTTGCTCATTTTGACAGGTGAGAAAACTGAGGCTCAGAGTAAGTACCTTGTTCAAATTCATAGTTATATTGTGTAGAGGCTAGAATCAAACTTAGACTGTAAAACATTGTTCTTTAAGAAATATAAACTATAAACTCTATTGTTAGAAACTGTAATTTAACATGTTACAGTAAAAGATTTCAGTGATCTTGGAAACACAAGGTAATTAAACAGTATGTTCTGCCTTTAGCATGGTTTAGAGTTGCAGTGCCCAATATGGTAGCCACTAGCCACAGATTGCTTTTAAGCACTTCAAGTGTGCCTAGAGTCACATGTTGAAATGACAATATTTTGAATATATTGGTTAAATAAAATATATTATTAAAATTAATTTCCCGTTTCTTTTTACTTTCTAAAATGCAGCTACTAGAAAATGTTGAACTATAGATTTGTTTTCCGTCCTATTTCTGTTAAACGCATGGATATTGAGTAATGCTGAGACTGCGTGGATTGCTGTCACCTTGTTAGAGAACTCCAGGTCATATCTTACTCATCTAGACACCAGGCCTTTCCTGGACTACAGAGATCTGTTCAGGATACCCCAAGCCTTGCAAGACTTCCTGATCCCTGGCTACTGCTAAGGGTGTTTCTCACCACCCTTCACTTCCATTCTCCTCTTAAAGTCAAAATGTACTTCAGAGCCAGGCTCCTGCTCTAACAACTCAAGATAATTGATTCTTGATGACTTTGGTGCTGGGTTCTCAGCCCATAAATCTACTGGGAGCTTGAGTTTCTGTGTATAACTTGCCCAAGGTATAGTCTTGACTCGATTCTATTATCACTGAATCTGCATTCATAAAATGCCATATATATTAGAGAACAGTAGTTTGCTAATTAAGTAGCTCTAGGCTCTAAGTAATTCTGATATGGATTAGCTACCTATCATATAACCTCCAACATCATCTGTCTCCAACCCATCTCAGACCTGTCTCATCTTGTTCAACTGAATTTAGGTACTTGTATGTGTACTTTGAACCCTGAATCTTTTCATCAAGCTATCTGCAAATGTTGATTTTCTTTTCTCAGGAGACTCCTTTACTAAGACCTAACACTAGTATTCTGGTAATCATGACAGTGATGTTCTAAGTGTAAATTAGCAGATTGACTTTCTCCAATAAGTTAAGAATTTTGTTAATTGTAAATCAGCATCCCAGTGTCTGTCCATCTAAGGTGGACTTGATAAATCTGGCTAAAAATACAAAGCTCACAACAGTGGATTTCATGATGGCCCCAGGAGAAGCAGAAATTGCATCAAGCCCACCCAGAAATGTTTTCTTCCTCCCTCCCTTCTTTCTTTCATTCTTTCACATGGAGAACCAATGGTGGTGAGGCATTGTGCTCAAAGCTAGGAATACAGAAATGAGAAAGATAGTCCATGTGATTTTATTAAATGTATCAATATGTTTTCAAAATGATGTCTGTATTTCCAACTTTTTTAGTGTAAGTTTGTGTAAAAAGAATATAGAAATTTAAGTTATTCCAAAATGTCAGTAGTACTGTGCTTATATTGGGCACAATAGAAATAAGAATAAAGCTTTACCATCAGTCCCCCCCACCCCCAACCCTTTTCTCTTCCTTTTTCTGCTTCCCTCCTTCCTTACCTTCCTTTCTTCTTAGTGGAGAGTGTTGTTGTTGTTGTTGTTGTTTTTGTTACAACTCATTAGAGAGAGCAGCCTCTTCTAGTTGAGTATTTTGATGGTAGCTATGTTGTCTACCCCTGAAAAACAATATAAGATAATGGGGGCACGATGAAGGTCAGGAATTAGAAGACCTCTAATTCTTATTCTATCTAGTATTTAAAGACTATTAAATCACTTAATGTTTAAAGACTATTAAATCACTTAATGTTTCTGAGTTTGACTAAATAAATAAATAAATAGAGTCCTGCTCAAAGTTTTAACTTCATGATTCCATGAACTTTTACTCAAACAGCTTTTAAGAAATTTTTGAGACTGATTGGTGACATTTTAGGATAGGCTCAAAGAGTCAAATTAAACCTTAGGAACTTAAACTCTTTGTGGTTGTCGCAGGTTGTATTACTTTGATACAACCAATTTTATCTAGTATTGGTGCAGGTCATGATTAATTGAAAATATGCAATTGATTTTTGATCGATTGTGAGTGATAATTATTTGTTTTCAGAGAGCTAAGCCTCCCAAAGCTCAAGGGGCTGAGCAAAATCTGCAAAGAATCCAACGCAGCCATCAGAAACGTCATGCTATCTTGGCTTCCATTAAGTCAAAGGAGCGGGATCGCTTGAAAGTTGACTGGGACCAGCACAGTGATCACAAGTTCGTGGACAGTCTTGTGAAAGCGAGAATCAAGGATGCCATGCAAGGTTTTATCATCAACACTGAGGAAAGACGAAATAAGTAAGTTTCACAAGCATGGTGCTTCAGACTATAAAACAATTCTAAAACTCTAACATGAGCTTGACCAAAAATCAAGTGAATTTTTAAAGCAAGGATCATGGCTGAGATATTCATATCTCTACCAAATCAATAGCTACTGCTTGTTTGTATTTTTACTTGTGATAGCCCATATTTGATAGAAAACAAAAGAATATATCAATATTTTGTTACTTTAAAGTCTGTTTTTATTCTTTTGTTAAAGATGTACATTATGTATCTAATTTGTATGTGATCAAATAAAATATGGCACATGTCAATTTGTTGCTTTAAATGGTGACTAGTCTTATTTTGTAGAAAACTGCAATGATCTTTGCCTTGCAAAATTTATGACTAAACATGTGCTTTGGTAATTAAATAAATAAAAATCAGTTGGTAAAATGGTCCCTGTGGCATGACAGTTTAAATTTTTTTGTGGTTTTTTTTTCCAGGCTACGTGAACTTTTAGCATCAGAAGAAAATGGGTATTTTACTGAAATGCAGTTGAAAGAAGAAACAATTGAGGAGAAAAAAGATAGAATGAAAGATAAAACCAGATTATTGAAAGAGAAGAAAGAAAAAGAGAGACAGGATTTTGTGGCTGAAAAATTAGACCAGCAATTCAGGTAATGATACAGAAACACACACACACCGAATCTGAAGTTGGTGTATGAAAAACTGATTTAGGAATGCTAATTTATAGCAAACTATGGCCTTAAGATGGTGTACACGGTAGATGTGCCCCTAAGTCTTGGTAATTATACATATCATTGGATAATACAGGCACTGAGGGTTTGCTGTTGTTTTGTAGTGAGAATGCTTAGGACCTACTGTGTGAGCAAATTTTAAGTATTCAATATAGTATTATTGTCTATAGTCACAACAGTGTACATTAGGTCCTCAGAACTTATTTATTCATCTTATAACTGAAAACTTGTGTCCTTTGATCAATATTTCCTCATTTTTCCCACCTCCACTCCCTGGGAACCACCATTCTACTCTATGTCTCTATGCATTCAACTTTTTTTTTTTTTTATTGAGAATACAGTATTTGTCTTTCTCTGACTTAACCCACTGAATAGTGTCGTCCAGGTTCATCTATGTTGTCTCAAGTGGCAATATTCCATTTCATATATATGTATACATATACATGTATTATGGTATACACGTCATACATTTTGTTTATCCATTCACGTATCACTAGACACTTAGGATATTTCCATATCTTGACTATTCTAAATAATGCTTCAATGAACATGAGAGTGCAGATATCGAGATACTGATTTTATTTCCTTTGGATATATGCCCAGAAGTGGGATCGCTGGATCATATGGTAGTTCTATTTTTAGTTTTTTAGGAATCTCTATACTGTTTTTCACAATAGCTGTACAAATGTATATTCCTGCCAGTAGCGTACAAAGGTTTCCATTTCTTTTTTTTTTTTTTTTTTAAATGTTTTATTTACTTCTAGGAGAGAGAGAGAGAGAGACAGCGTGAGCAGGGGAGGGTCAGAGAGAGAGGGAGTCACAGACTGAAACAGGCTCCAGGCTCTGAGCTGGCAGTCAGCACAGAGCCCGACGCGGGGCTCGAACCCATGAACCGCGAGATCATGACCTAAGTGAAAGTCGGACGCTTAACCGACTAAGCCACCCAGGCGCCCCCAAAGGTTTCCATTTCTTTATGCCCTTGCCAACATTTGTCATCTCTTGTCTTTTTGATAATAGCTATCTTAACAAATGTGAGGTGATATCTCATTGTGATGTACGTTTGCATTGCCCTGGTGATTAGTGATGTTAAGTACCTTTCCATGTACTTCTTAATCATCATTTGTATGTCTTCTCTTGAAAAATGTCTATTCAGATTCTTTGCTCATTTTTTAATCAGATTTTTGGGGGACTACTGAGCTGTTTGAGTTCCTTGTAATTTTATTTTATTTTTATGTATTTTTTAAGGTTTTTATTTTAGGAGAGATAGACTGAGTGCAAGCAGGGAAGGGGCAGAGAGGGAAGGGGAGAGAGAGAATCAGAAGCAGGAGCCACACTGTCAGCATGGAGCTTGACATGGGGCTCAAAATTACTAACCTTGAGCTCATGACTTGAGCCAAAATCAAGAGTCAGATGCTTAACCGACTGATCCACCCAGATGCCCCATCTTTATATATTTTAGTTATCAATCCTTTAACAGACACGTAGTTTGAAAATATCCCATGATTGCCTTTTCATCTTGTTGGTTGTTTTCTTTTCAGAAGCTTTTTAGTTTGATGTGGTCCCACTTGCTTATTTTTGCTTTTGTTACCGTTCCTGTAGGTGTCATATCCAAAAAATCATGCCAAGACCAATGTCAGGGTGATTTTTTTCCTATGTTTTTGCCTATATGTTTTATAGTTTACAGTTTTACGTTTAAGTCTTTAATTCATTTTGAGTTCATTTTTATGAATGGTATATATAATTGTTCAATTTTATTCTTTTTCATGAGGATAACCAGTTTTCCCAAGACTATTTATTGAAGAGACTATTCTTTCCCCCATTGTGTGTTCCTTGCATCCTTTTAAAAGATAAGCTGATTATATATGAGTGAGTTTATTTCTGGGCCCTGTATTGTATTTCATTGACCTATATATCTATTATTATGCCAGTACTATACTGATTTAATAACTGTAACTTTGTGAAATAGTTTGAAATCAAGTGTGTGATGCTTCCAGCTTTGTTTTTTTTTTTACCAAGATTGCTTTGGCTATTTGGAGTCTTTTGTGGTTCCATCTGAATTTTTGGACTGTTTTTTCTACTTCTGTGAAAAATTCATTGTAATTTTGGTGGGGATTGCATTGACTCTGTAGACCATTGCATAGCATGGACATTTTAACAGTATTGATTCTTTAATCAAGGACAAATGATATCTTTCCACCTATTTGTGTCTTCAATTATTTTTATCAGTATCTTACAATTTTCAGTGTATTAATCTTGAACTTCTTGGTTAAATATTTTCCTAAATATTGTGTTGTTTTTGTTGCTTTTTGCAAGTGGAATTGTTTTCTTAATTTCTCTTTCAGATAGTTCATTTTAGGTGTATAGAAATTGCAACTAATTTCTGTATGTTTTCATATCCTGCAACATTACTGAATTTGATTAGTTCTAACAGTTTTTTGGTTGAGTCTTTAGCATTTTCTATATATAAGATCATGTCATGTGCAGACAGTTTTACTTCTTTTCCATTTTGAATGCCTTTTATTTCTTTTTCTTGCCTAATTGCTCTAGCTAGGACCTCCAGTACTAAGTTGAATAAAAGTGGCAAGACTGGGCACCCTTATCTCATTCCTAATTTCAGAGGAAGAGCCTTCAACTTTCTACCATTGAGTATGAAGTGAGCAGGGCACTTCTCATATATGGCCTTTATTGTAGTGGGCTACATTCTTTCTGTACCTAGTTTGTTGAAAGTTTTTATCATGAAAACATGTTGAATTTGGTCAGATGCTTTTTCTGCAGCTATTGTGATGATCTTATAATTTTAATCCTTCATTTTGTTAATGTGGTGCATCATACTTATTGATTTGTGTATATTGAACCATCCTTACATCCTAGGGATAAATCCCACTTGATCATGGTGTATGATCCTTTTTTAAGTTAACTTATTTATTTTGAGACAGAGAGAGAGAGAGAGAGAGGGCAAGAGAGAGGAAGGGGGAAGAGCAGAGAGAGGGGGAGAGAGAGAATCCCAAGAAGAGCCTGACACAGGGCTCGATCCCACGGACAATGAGATCATGACCTGAGCCGAAATCAAGAGTTGGATGCTTAACCGGCTTAGCTATCCAGGTGCCCCATTGTATGATCCTTTTAATGTGCTGTTAAATTTAGTTTACTAGTATTTCATTGAGAATTTTTGCATCTATGTTTATCAGGGATATTGGCCTGTAATTTCCTTTTCTTGTAGTGTCCATGTGTGGCTTTGGTGGCAGGGTAATACTGACCTCATAAAATGGATTTGGAAGTGTTCTCTCTCCTTCAATTTTTTTGGAACCTTTTGAGAAGGATTGGTATTAATTCTTCTTTAAATGTTTGGTAGAATTTGCCAATGAAGTCATCTAGTCCTGGAATTTTCTTTACCGGAAGACTTTAGATTAGTGATTTAATCCCCTAACTCATTATTGATCTTTTCAGATTTTGTATTTCTTCATGGTTCAGTCTTGATAGGTTTATGTATCTGGGAATCCATCTGTTTTTCCCAGGCTATCTAATTTGTTGGTTTGGTATTGTTCATAGTAGTCTTCCATGATCCTTTGTGTTTTTGTAGTGTCAGTTGTAATGTCTCCTCTTTCATATCTGATTTTATTTATTTGAGTCTTCTCTCTTTTTTTCTTAGGCTAAAGGCTTGTTGATTTTGTTTATTTTTTCAAGAAACCAAATCTTAGTTTCATTGATTTTTTTTTTCCTGTCATTATGCAAGTCTCTAGTTTATTTACTTTTGCTGTGATCTTTGTTATTTCCTTTCATCTGCTAACTTTGGGCATTTTGTTGTTTTTCTAGTTCCTTGAAGTAAAGTTGCATTGTTTACTTGAGACTTTTGTTTTTTCTTAATATAGGTGTTTATTGCTCTTAAATTCCCTCTTAAAACTGTTTTTGCATATCCTGTAGGTCTGGTATGTTGTGTTTCTATTTTCATTTGTTTCAAGATACTTTTTGATTTTCTTTTTGATTTCTTCTTTGACTCATTGGTTGTTTGTTCAGAAGTGTGTTGTTTAGTTTCCACATTTATTTGTTAGTTTTCTAGCTTTTTTCCTGTTATTAGTTTCTAGCTTCATACTATTGTGGTTAAAAAAAAAAGATGCTTGATAAGATTTCAGTCTTCTTAAATTTGTTGAGACATTTTTTGTGACCTAGGGTATGATATATCCTAGAGAATGTTCCATGTGTGCTTGAGAAGAGTGTGTATTCTGCTGCTGTTGGATAGACTGTTCTGTATGTCTGTGAGTTCCATTTGATCTAAAGTGTACTTAAGTCCCATGTTTCCTTATTGATTTTATGTCTGGATGATCTATGCACTGTTGAAAGTGGAGTATTGAAGTCTCTTACTATTTTGCTGCATTGCTGCAATTTCTCCCTTCAGACCTGTAAATATTTGCTTAATATATTTAGGTGTTACGTGCATATATATTTACAATTGTTATATTCTTTTGGTATGTAAGGACCTTCTTTGTCTTTTTTTTTTTTTTTTTTTACATTTTTTTGATTTAAAATTTATCTTTTTTTTTAAAGTTTTAGCCACCCTTCTCTTTTTTGTTTCTACTTGCATGGAATCCTTTTTTCCATTCCTTCACTTTCAGCCTTTACGTGTCCTTAAAGCTGAAGTGAGTGTTTTGCAAGCAGCATGTACTTTGATCTTGTTTTCCTTCTGTTNCTCCCTTCAGACCTGTAAATATTTGCTTAATATATTTAGGTGTTACGTGCATATATATTTACAATTGTTATATTCTTTTGGTATGTAAGGACCTTTTTTTTTTTTTTTTTTTTTTTTTTTTACAGCTTTTGAGTTAAAATTTATCTTGTCTGTTAGAAGTATAGCCACCTCTTCTCTTTTTGTTTCTACTTGCATGGAATACCTTTTTCCATTCCTTCACTTTCAGCCTTTACGT